ATCCCTACGGATGTCCCGGTCCTCAAACACTCTCTGCTTCATTCGGAAAAATGCTGCGCTCGCAGAGCTCAGTCGGTGTTCTATAGCTATTTTAGGCCAGTACCTTGATATCTTGTGTGTGCTCAAGAACATTGGTTCTGAATTATGGAACAGAGAAAATTCAAAATTCTGGTATGTGACAATTATGCCACAGTCCTGCCATATTGTGGCTTTTAATTTTTCAATTAATCTATCTCTGCATTTTTCAAACAAAACATTTTCTTTCCACTGGTTTATTTTGCGATAGTTACTTTTTCAGATGAGGGTCTTTTAGAGGTGTTGGGAGTTATGACACAGAAGACTGTCAGACTTGTTTATTCTCACTCTGAGGCATAAGCATAGTTTCTGAGCTTCATTTATATTTTTGCAGCAGATAAATGTTTTTCTTTTGAGTTAGAAAAGAGAACTGTTTAAAAATTCTAAAAATAGCTTGCTTGATCTGCTCTTTCTTCCTTCCAAATTCTGGAATCACATTTTACCTATAAAGTTAGGTTACTATGTTAGGTATCTCATTTTTGTGGATTTTTATTTTGCTTAATTTAGCTAGGTAGCTAGCATATTTTCTTTCATCCTTTTTCTAGATAGTTCAAAGGTGCCTGTCTTTGGTTTCCTTCTCACAAACCAGTATGATCACAAACTCTCAGGTTAGTTTGAGAACCACTCATTAGTCCAACACATTCCAGTGATATTTCTCTTTCCCAAACATTGTCACTCCTGTTTAACACGCCTTTGTATCTCTTTATATTTATTTGAGCCCCACTCTTATGGTGGGACGCAAATGATGCGTATTTGGTTTGATGACTTCCTGATATTACTTTCTGTGAACCAATTTGTCTCATTATTGTTTGCTCCATCATGTAGGTTGTCAGTAAATAACTTCCCGAGTCTGTGTTTTATCTCCTGGGGAAAAAAGTATATGACTAAAATATTTTTACTTTTTATTTTTCAGTTTTTACTTGTTAGTAGACATCACACCTCCCCAGTACCTAGACAGCGTGAGAGAACATTTTACACTGGCAAATTATCTTCAAAAAATAAAACACAGATTCTACACAGAGAAGGGAGGAATCTCCTTTTGATGGCTTGCTTCTCCCACTCACTCCTCCAACAGGGAGCGAAAAAGGTAGAATTTTTGGTGTCCCCTCCTAAAGGGAGCAATCCCCAGGAGGGCCAGTCTAATTCCTACCTCCCCCCCCCCCCAATTCTGATAGGAAATGCTTTTTGTGATCTTTCTTTGATCATTCAAAAACCTTCCCATTTCTCTTTTTCCTTTTTGTCTTTAGCCTTCTTCAGTCTCTGTTCCAATCCCACTGTTGCACTCCAGGACAGGAAAAGCCCTCTGACTGTAAACACCACACCGTTGATTGGAAAACAATCATTTTATTGAAGATAGTTAAAAAGCAGCAAGTAAAAAGCACTTTAAAGAAATAGGTAAATCCAATTAGGTAAGAAGATAAGCAGGAGTAGAAATAGTCCAGGGTAAAGTTCAGCAAAGTCCATAAAAACAAAGTCCACACTTCTCTAATATAATTCAGCAAACCAGGAAACATTAATCAAAGACATGAATAGGCATTCATACAATCCAAGAATCCAAATAATGAAACAAGAAATACTTAGACAAGAATCTCCCCAGCAATGCTTCCATGAACAAGAATGAGAATTTTCCTTGATTCCAAACAATGCTTCATCTGACTATATTTCCCATACTTGGAACTTTTATCCCCTCGTTAAGCTATCCCTAGCACTCAGAAATTGGTTTCACTTTAATTGAGATTCCCTTATCTTTTTCTGTTGGATTCTGGCAGACCACCGAAGCCACTGTTCGGTCTACCTGTTTTGACTCAATCTCCTGCCTCCTATCTATTTGCTCATTAAGTTTTCCAGCTGGGCCAGGTGTCCAGTTGCTTTCAAGCCCCAAATCCTGGGAACTCTCTGGTAACAATTCAGGGAGTACACCATCATCCTCACACCCTTAAGAGACATTCTCATAGGAAACTACACTTTGCACAGGGGTCTCCTGGTCCTTCTCTGCATCAATATCATTGACCAAATCATTGCCAGCTTGAAATTCATTGGCATCACTTCCCACATCCAAAGCACCCTGATCCTGAAACATAATCACAAGCTGAACTCCAACACCCACTTTCGTCCTTCTAACAAAAAGGCCTTTTCTCCTGTTTCTTTCTCCCTTCCATATTGCCCAACTATTGCATCTCCTTATTCCTGTGAGAACTCAAGAAATGATTCAGCCAGCCAGCCTACTCCTGTCCAGGCAGCTCCTCAGCCTGGCTAGAAGAAAAGAGACACTCCCTCCACTTCAAACTCTCTCTCTCCTTATCTACTGTGGGTGGGCATGAAATCCTTTTGAAGGGTCATGCAAGCACTAAAGAGATGCTTGAGTGGTCGGGTGAGGAAAACCCCTCTGCCCTGCTTTCTCTTTGCAACGCTATCACCCAGCCAATTTTGGATCAATTTTGCGATGGTAAAGATCACACTTCCTCACCTAATCCCTATGCATGCCTTCATATCAGCTACCAATGGGGATGTGTCGACACCACGTTAAGGTTTACAGTAAGGTAAAGGTTTCCCCTTGACATTATGGCTAGTTGTGTCCAACTCGGGGGGGCGGGGGGTGCTTATCTCCATTTCTAAGCCAAAGAGCCGGCGACCGTACACTTGTCCAAGGTCATGTAGCCAGCATGACTGCATGGAGTGATTGGCTTGACTCTGAACGAGCTGGGGGAGGTGACGGCCAACAGGGAGCTCTGGCGTGGGCTGGTCCATGAGGTCACAAAGAGTCGGAAACGACTGAACGAATGAACAACGAAATATGAGTTTGTTCATTTTTCCTGTGTATGGATACCTTTGGAACAACCTGTGTTATTCTGATGTAGACCTCAGGGTGTGGTTATTATATGAAAAATGGAAACTCCCAAATCTATATAAATAAAAATGTAATGTTCGTTTGTGGGGTTAACATAACTCAAAAACCACTGGACGAATTGACACCAAATTTGGACACAAGACACCTAACAACCCAATGTATGTCCTTCACTCAAAAAAATTTGATTTTGTCATTTGGGAGTTGTAGTTGCTGGGATGTATAGTTCACCTACAATCAAAGAACATTCTGAACTCCACCAACGATGGAATTGAACCAAACTTGGCACACAGTTCTCCCATGACCAACAGAAAATACTGGAAGGGTTTGGTGGGCAGTGTTCTTTGGTTTTGGAGTTATAGTTCACCTACATCCAGAGATCACTGTGTTCTCAAGCAATGATGGATCTGGACCAAACTCTACATGAAGACTTAATATGCCCAAATGTGAACACTGGTGGAGTTTGGGGAAAATAGAATCCTGACATTTGGGAGTTGTAGTTGCTGGGATTTATAGTTCACCTACAATCACAGAGCATTCTGAATGCCACCAACGATAGATTTGGGCCAAACCTTCCACACAGAACCCCCATGTGGGCCACAGCAACGCGTGGCAGGGGACGGCTAGTATATTATATGTGACTGAGTAGGGAGGTGCCTACTCTGTAGTGACTTCTCTCAAAGACCTAGATATTGTTTCTGTTGATCTATGTCACTGTTTTTCATTACTAGTTATTGCCAGCTGCACATAAACTTTATCTGTATTTCAGTATATTCTGCCATTTATTTTTCAAAGTCATTGTCATCTGGCTGGATTTTTAAAATTAAAGTAAATTTATGTGGGTGTGGAGCGTGAGGGCATCAGCTTATGTTGTGTCGGAGTGCCTTTTTGATTCCAGAGCAGTATGTTTACACAGGTTTTCTTTTCATCGGGTTCTTTTAGCAAGCACTGCAGTTGTCTCCCTGTACTGTTTCCCTCCACCCAGTAAAATGATTTTCTTCTGCTTACAGGAGAAAGAAGAGGCAGAATTTTTCCTTTGATTTGGGTAGTGAATGCCTGTGTTTGGCTGCTCATTAAG